ATAAAATAAATAAAAAGTAATTCAATATGAAACAAAATGTGGTACGAATGTGTAGGTAGGTAGACGCAAAATTTGACGGAAACTTACCGAACGTCTAGAACATTGTCACATCAAATACCTATATTATGTAAAATTAACAAAAAATCTAAATTATGCTTAGAATTTTTTTCAAATTTTGTAATTTTATACTGTAAAAAATTTGCGAGCTATCTCATTTAACATCTTGCTAAACAGAACTTAAAAAATAGACCACAATATTCAAACTACACTTGGGTGCATATACTTAAATGGAACCATTAGCGTTTCATTTTTCATTTCTTTATAAATATTTTCTGATATAAGTATTTAATTAATTGCTAACGTATGTCGTATAAAAGACAATTAGTTACCTTTAGAATGAGAATATTTGTTTGTAAAAGGAACATTTTCTTTAAATTTATAAAGGGTTCGATAAAATTAAAACAAAAACGATAGTGACTCTATTTTTTAGATCCCGAGTGCATTTTTTTATAATCATCGAATGACTGCTCCCGCCTGGGTGAGGCGGAAGGGAGTGCCAGACTCTTACTGACTAAAAACCACCCCGTTCCTTCTCCTGCACGTCGAGCCGGAGCCCCGGTTACCCGTTAGGTTCTCCGCGACTCCGAAATCCCCAGTGCATAGTTTGTGCACAAACATCAACAAAATTGGGTACTTGCCAACTAGTCAAATTGAATACTTTTTTCGAACTATCAAAAACGATAGTTTTCTATGAATTTTGTACGAGATTGTGTATTGTGATGTCACGTTTTTTAGCGACAAACAACATACTTATTGCTATAAAAATTTGCTGGAAAAATACTAAACTTAAGTTGATCATAAAATCAATTAATGAAAGTATGTTTTTTTAATATTTTTATTGTATTAAACAGTCGAAATAAACTATTTTTGATTAAGGAAAGTACCCAATTAATCTAAAGATTTATTTGTTTATTTGCTTTCGTGAATGAAATTAATTATTGCAATCAACTTACTGGTTTCGGTTTCATGTTTAGGCCGGAGACAGATGAGCACTACTAATGCTAAAGATCAGTTTGAACAATTTAAATGTGAATTGATAACGGAGAGGTCAAGGATTATGTCAGGTTATCAAACATAAACGTAATGAGACAATAAACGCGCAAAAATATCACTTATCCTGCGATGACGATGTAGTTTTTTGTTAATTGTTTATGACGGTCGTGATTTTTGCAGATTTTTTTAGTTATTTTGTTTAATTTGGTTGTTTCAAGTAGATATAGATGCGTTGTAACCGTGAAATACTAGAGAGATATACTCCTGATTCTCCCTGCAACGGGGGTGGTGCAATAAGGTATTTTGGAGATTTCATATTTTGAAACATTCTCTGGATTTTTTTGCGTTAAGCACGCTACATCCTCCCAAAACCGCTGCAACTCCTGTAAGCCAGGATCTACAGTAGATACAACCATGAAAACACCAGGATATTGAAGTCCGGCGCGTCCCAGGGACATGAATAACTGTTTTGGTTCCCGCAACGAAGATATTACTTACAAGAAAAGAAATACAACTTTCTCTGAATATTATTATGTGTCAAGTAATTAAACTTAAAGTTAAAGTTAAACTAATTTAGGTTGAGCTAAATACCTATTTAGATACCTTTATATATATATTTCTTTTTAGACAAGCTGGATGATGTATCACTATCTGAAACTGTCTTTTTCTGACGATAGTAGGTAATAATAAGATTAAACTACATTACTTTTACATTCAATATTTACCTACTTTTATATAAAGGAAAATCGTATAAAATCAGGTAGGTACCCAATTCCTTAAACACTTCCTTAGACACTGCCTAAATGCGTGAGATAAATTAATTATTCGTTAGAATTTTACGGAAATACTAATTAAATATTAATAATCGGTGGTGGCCCGGAGGTTTAAGACGCCCACTTCTCATGCATGAGGTTCGAAACCTACCAACAGCAGTATCTACCAATGTGACGTTTTCAGAGTTATATGTATATACTTTCTAAGATTATTTAGACACCACTGACAAACGGTGAAGGAAAACATCGTGAGGAAACCTGGACTTATCATTTCTAATTATAAGTTTGTAATCGCCAACCCGCATTGAGCAAGCGTGGTGATTAATGCTCAAATCTTCTCCGTGTGAGAAGAGGCTTTGCTCAGCAGTGGTCATTTATAGACTGTTGATGATGATGATTAATAAAACGACAAAAAACCATAACCTCCTTTACCTAAGTCGGTTACAAAAGCCAATTGATTTAGAACAAGACCTTAGTATTTGTGTCAGACACGTGTTCGCAACTTACACTACAAAATCGCAGTACACAGCATACATTGCTTGCGTTATTCTCTTCAAATCTTAAACACATCTAACAAAGCCGTCAATGGATGTTGAAAACACAGGTTTGTAACAGTTTTATTAGTCAAAGCTCTAGAGTAGTTTCCTGCACTTTAGTTATTGTTATTGATATAATAGTGTCTGTCTGTGTGTAAACTGTAAGACGTAGTTTGACAATTTGCGTTCTATTTTGATCAAAGATTATCTTTATTTGATAAATATACCTATACTACCTACCTCGTTGGCCGAGTGGTCGCAAGTATGACTGATGGGCAAGGGTTGGTCTCGGGTTCGATTTCCGAGTCAGGCAAAGTATCACTAGGTTTTTAAAACATTCTCAGTAGACTCAGTGTGCACGGTATATGGCAATAGGCTCACCCCCTATTACATGTATGGGACTCATAACATAAATAGTGAAATGTGGGCGTTACATTACATTGCACAGTGGCACTAAGTACCGCAACGTGCACCTCTGCGTATCCCTCCGGGAATAAAAGGCGTGATATGTGATAGGTAAACATATTAAGAACTTAGGTAGGATATAGTTATGATATGACTGTCTCGCTCTCTCATTCCTAACCCCTAAAGGCCAGCAACGCATTTGTAACTGTTCTGATGTTGCAGGTGTCCACGGGTGGCGCCGGCGCCATCGGGTGAACCGTCAGCTAGTTTGACACGATAAACCGTAAAAAAATAATCTTAGAGACTTAAGCTTTTTTAACCTCTTGTCTGTCGATATATGAGACACAATATAAAACGCATTTTATCTCGCTCTGCCCGCGCCTATTAATTGTAGCGTGATATTTTATAGCCAATAGCCTTCCTTGATAAATGGGCTATCCAACACAGAAAGAATTTTTCAAATCGGACCAGTAGTTTCGGAGATTAGCGCGATCAAACAAACAAACAAACTCTTCAGCCTTATAATATTAGTATAGATGAAACATAATAATCGACAATAATAAGAACATTTTTATTGATCAACATCAGAATAGCAAATCACGCGACACTGCAATTGGAGAGATCACGTGAAGACGCCCCTGCGCCTGCGCAGGTTGACCTTAATCTAAATGTTAGAGAAATAAACGAGGAAGACGATCATTTTGTATAAAAATAGAACGATACTATACTTATAGGAGCAATTGTTGATGATATAAATACAATTGTAGGGTACTAAGGCATATTATGCGCAGAAACAAGGTGTCAGGTTCATTTGGGACCAATTGGGATCACAAAAACAGATTTTTATGCGTATTTTCTTAAACACCAACGTCCTAACCTAAGTTGTAACACAAATACAGTTATATATAACGCAATGTTAAGTACATATTTCATGGATAACTTTTCATGGAAATTTTTTAGTGTGGGAGAGTCATGCTTCGGCACGAATGGGACAGCTCGACCGGAGTGATACCACGACCTCAAAGAAAACCGACGTGAAACAACGCTTGCGTTGTGTTTCGCCGTGTGACTGAGGTTACCGGAGGCCCAATTACTCTCTCGCTCTCCCCTTTCCCAATCTCCCCAATCCAAATCAAACTGCAAATCCTCAAAAGGCCGGTAACGCCCTTGTAGCGCCTCTGGTGTTCCAGGTGCCCATGGGCGACACCGATCGCTTACCATCAGGTGATCCGTCTGATCGTTTACCGACGAATGATACCAAAAAAAAAGAAATCCCAACAAGGGCATCTGACTTCGGAAACTGAAGAACAACAGATTCGACTATTCGCTGCAACAATCTTCTTTTTACCCGACTGTAACATTGCAAAGAAGCGAGCAGTTTAGTAGCAATAAGAAACCTCAATTTTAAAATATAAATAAAACACATACCTACATAATTACTTAAATATTAAATATTTACATGTTAAATAACAGTCGGCGATAACAACTTTTAGTTTAGCAAAAATGTTAGGTAATATTATGTAGGTAACTACAATTTATTATATATAGATGTTATTTACAAGACTATCGCCCGAATACCTAATGGCAACTGAATTTTAAGTTGCAATTAAATATCGTGCCCTTTCACTTTACAAAGTATTTGTGGTGACAGAACTTTACTTCAGAACAGAACAGAGTCTTACCTTAGTACGAATTTATTTTAGGTTAAAACTAATCGCAACGAGACTGCTTTCGGCGCTCCGATTGGTTAGTTCAATGGAGTTTTGATTACTTTAAATGTGAAACAAACTCGTACTAAGGCCTCAGGCTACTTCGTTGGCCGAGTGGTCGCAAGTGCAACTACCAGACAAGGGGTCTCGGGTTCGATTCCCGAGTCGGGTAAAGTGTAATGAGTTTTAATAAAAAAAAACCCCAGTACCTAGTGCACGGAGTCTGGAATTGTGTCCGGTATATGGCAATAGGCTCACCCCCTACTCATTATATGGGACTCGTAACATAAATAGTGAAAAGTGGGTGTTACATTGTACAGTGGCATTAAGTGCCTCTGCCTAACCCTTCGGGGATAAAAGGCGTGATGTAAATTTACTTACGCGACATAAAATTGAGTGTCGTTTCCATATTCGAGCGTATGTGTGTAAAGTATAATGTAGCTACATATTAGGTGTCTATGGGAAAAATAATGTTCTGGGTACCTAAGCCAAATAAAATGTGTAAATTTAAACAATTTTTGTTAATAAAATAAAATCGAATTTAATAATATGAAAATAAATAGGGTTATTGTAAATCAATATCAATCATTTGGTACATAAGGTAAATTATATGTTATTAATGCCTATATCAAAAATGTCTTGCTGATGACGTCCTCCAGTCTACCACTCGCAAACTCCTGGGATGTACTTGTCGATCAGCTTCTCGTAGTAGGGCCACAGAGCCTCGATATCAGGGACCTTAGTGCTCTTGGTATAAAGGTCATATTTGCTGATAACAAAAGAAAATTGCCAAATTACTTTGACTTTTCAGAACAAATATACATCACATACAAGGTCATACTTCTTGTGGTGTGGGTATTTATTTATTTATTTAAATAGGTGTACCAACAACTTCTGTATAAATAGTATTTCTTTTTTAAGGGGGGAAAATCATCGAATGACTGCTACCAATAAATGGGTGAGGCAGGAGGGAGTGTCAGACTCTTACTGACTAAAAACCACCCTGTTCCTTCTCCTGCACGTCGAGCCGGAGCCCCGGTTACTCGTTAGGTTCTCCGCGACTGTATAAATAGTATTAGGAAATAACAAATGTAACAATAGGTATTCGACAGTCGGCAATTATAGGTTAACCAACTTTACAATTGGGTATTTGTTAACTAATCAAATTCAATACTCTTTTCGAACTGGTCAACAGTTTTCTATGAACTTTGTACGAGATTGTGTATTGTGACGTCACGTTTTTTAGCGTCAAACAGCATACTTAAGAATTTGCTGGAAAATACTAAAATTAAGTTGGTCATAAAATCAATTTATGAAAGTGTAATTATTTTTTTATATCTCATTGTATTGAACAGTCGAAACAATTTATTATTGATTAAGGAAAGTACTCTATTGGGTGATAAAAAAAACTATACAAAAGAAACAAGGAAAATAAAAATTATAGTAAACTAAAAAAAACTATTAACGAATTCAATATTATTCTTATGTTAAAGAAACATAAAATTAAAGACATAGACTATATAATAGAATTAAAAAAAAATTGGTTAAACATATTTTGAAAAAAGGAATAGGTATGTTATAAATGCCAGTACTTATACATATTTTATATCATTGACCAAGATTTTTCCTTGAGTCTTTTCTGCATGGTGATATATTTGTTCATCATCAGAGCAAAAAATAAAACTTCATTTCATTTTCTGCAAATGTCTTTGTCTCAGATTCATGTAGATTGTGAAATGGATATCGTACTAATGATTCGTATGCTCGTTTGCCCTTATGCAAACTAGTGAGATATTTTTTTCATTTTTAAATAAAACATTGGCTCACACTAGGATTTTCTCCTATGTCGTGGGTGCGTTTACGAACATTCAAGTTCACATACACATGACACCCAGACTCGGAACAACAATTTGTGGATCACACAAAGAGTTTTGCAGTGCGGGAAGCGAACCCACGACACGTTGCGCGGTAGCCAGTTACCCAGCCACCGCACCAACCGTGCAGTGCAATTAAGAGATACTCACTTGAATTCCAGCACCCATTGCAGGATCTGTTCATCCTTCTCGTTGGTAAGGTGGCGGTAGTCGCCGCCCGCGTGCCACGGGTACAGGGAGTGATATCTGAAAATAAATACTTCCACTCATCATTTGATTCTTAAATACTGTTAAATTCCTAATAACATAGCATCACGCCTTTTATCCCCGATGGGATAGGCAGAGGTGCACATTACGGCATTTAATGCCACTGTACAATGTAACACCCACTTTTCACTATTTATGTTATGAGTCTTATGTAATAGGGGGTGAGCCTATTGCCATATATTCCAGACTCTATGCTACTACTGATTTTTTTTAAAACCCAGAAATACTTTCACCGTCCCGGGAATCGAACCCGAGACCCCTTGTCTGGCAGTAGCACTTGCGACCACTCGGCCAACGAGGCAGTCATTGTTGAAATGTTGATTATATTTAATCATATCTCTGACATATGGATCTATGTACAATTGCACAGGTATTAAATGTCAATGGGTTAAGAATGCAGTCTGCATCTAAGAAAGGAATAGTCGTAGATATAACAAATGAAAAAAAAAAACTATGCAGTGCAGGTGTAGGCACTCCAAAAATGTCTTAAAACAATGTTTTACCTGATCATGTACAGTCCCTTCTCGGGAATCTTGCTCTTGTTGTGTTTAAGGAACTGGTACATGTACTCGTCGTGGCTCCAGGATATCAGCAGGTTGTCCAGTCCGCAGTGTGGCTCGTACATGCCGTATTCAATGCTAAACGTCAGAAAGGTTAATACGGTAGTTGACAGGTAGTCAAATTCAATACTTTTATTAAAATGTCAAAAACGATACTTTTCTATGAATTTTGTATTGGATCGTAGCGATTATGACGTCATCATATTTTTGCGTCAAATAGCTTAGGTATTTATTTCCTTAAAATTAACGAAAAAAAATTCAAAAGTAAGTAAATTGTCAAATCAATAGATGAGACTGTGATTATTTTTTTAATTATTTACTGCATTGAAAGGTTGAAACAATTAATTTTAAACCTAGGAAACTAGCCAATTGTACTCGAGGATTGAAATTAGAAAATATAGGTAGATATTGGATTTGTAAAGTTGAAAAATCTATAAATCAAATCGAAGTAGATTGACAGTGTCTGTACTTTACATCATACCAGCCATATTAAACTGTCAAACACCAAGCGGTCACCGGTGACCGCATCCTATTGTTCTATAATTGTGTCTACAAAACCGGTACTCGACGAGTTAATATTATGGACCTGCTATTCTTCCTAATATCGCTTCCTAATACACGATAATAATTATCAAAAACAAAATTCAACTCTTCAATAAAAATTACATACTTACCTACATAATTTCACGCCTGTCTCCCATGGGGGTAGACAGAGACTATGGAACGTCAATTACTACGATTCCTACATACCTCTTTCGCTTCATCAACAGTCATCAATAACGCATGCTCGTCAGTTTAGGGTACTTTTAATTTGGCCTTCTTTAATATATCGCCAATCTGGTCAGTACATGTCCGTCTAGGGCGCCTTCTAAAATTAGGCTTGAAATACGGCCCGCCCTGATTGATCTGACTCTGTGCCAAAGCTGAGCGAAATTTTGTTTTTCATCTTAGTTCTAAGTATAGAGGCTACTGGGTCAGACTACTACCTACTCACCTTGTAGCCTTCAACCCCTTAGTAGTAGTAGTAGTAGTAGCCTGACTATCACCACATGAGATTGTCAATAGGTGCAGTAAATGAAACTCACTTGTATTTAGGGTTGTAGGTGTCAGGGTTGTCCTTGAAGCTCTCAGGTCCATACACGATGGACTTGGCCCACTTGCAGCCCACAGGGAATGTGTCTCCCACCACACACCACTGAGGCTCGCCGTAGAATGCCATCACCTGGACAAAAGCAAGACTTGTTTTATCGAAATACATCATAAATGATTAAATTGTTAATAATGCTTTAAATATAAAGTCAAATAATATTGAAAATAGCAGCACATCCCGGATACAAGATAATGTTTTCTAACTTTACTGGTGATTGCCGGCGCATCACTCACTACCTCTATATGACCATCGTCTATATAGCCGGCGGCTTCACTCAACTCACCGCCATGCGCTTTCGGCCATTTCTCTATGTCGGCAATAATAAAATCGGTCTTGATTGTAGTTTGGGGAAATAAACCTATATAATCCTTACTAATATTATAAATCGGAAAGTGAGTTTGTTTGTTGGTTCCGCTTTCACGCCGCAAGTACTAAACTGATTGCTTTGAATTTTTGCAGACGTAAAGTTAGAAGTCCGGATTAAATAATAGGGTACTTTTTATCCCGGAAAAATTTGATATTCCCGAGGGTAAACAAAAGTATTGGTATAGATGGCGCTGTATGTATTGGTATATGTCACATAGGCTACTTTTTATCCTTTTATGACGTGAGCGAAGCCGCGGGTAAAAGCTAGTTCTATATAAGACCTCTGTTTTACTTCATATAACCTGACAGAGTCTCGACAGTGATTTTGAAAAACAGTTGTTATGGAACAACTTACGATAAATAAATAACACGGCATTAGTTAGTGCTCCAACTATGACGTATATCCACCTACACTTATTTTCCGACACCTAAACATTATTTTCCACAATTTGAATCAATTTTCCAGCTACCAGCAGAGAGGGTCGCAAAAAATTCCAGCAGAGGTCATCTGTATCAATGAATCGACTATTAAAAGGTTAGAGTCGTAAAATAGGTTATCAATAACGCGTAGATTAGCCGTGTTTATAGTAATATAGTCGATTGAATATCTTGTATAAAACTGTGCATGCTAAGTCATCTATCTAGGTAATGTACCTAGGTCTGTACATAAGCCGTGGTCAGGATTGCCAGTAATATCGCTATAAATCAGTACGGGACGGTTTTTATTATTCAGCAAACGCAGGAGAAGTCATTTAATGATATCAGTTTACTTACAGTTTTATAATAGGGTAGTATCCTAAATTAAACTAAGTTTTATTTTAATGTCCGTCTGGTACATTAATTTAAAACTTTAATTAATTAAAATTAAAACACGTATTTTTTCTTTTTTCACAAAATTAAATACTTTCGACGATATACATAATATTAATTTGAAATATCGTGTGACGTCACCGCGTGCCACATTTTGTAGCACGTTATGCCGTAACAACCTCCCACTCCTGAACTTAGCGCCATTTTATCTAAGTATTATCTAACTGACGGACTAATTAGATTTTTAATTTGGATACCCTGGAAACTACCCAATTAGCACAAACAGCTTAAAACTTATGCAATATCCTACGCGTTTATTAATTCAACAATATCGTACATTAGTAATGTTAATGCAATACCACCATTTACCTTTACATTAATCATAAAAAGTACTTACTAAAATCGGTCAATAAATAATGATTTTTAAACTTAACTAAGTACTTCAATAAATAACTTGGGTAAACTTAAGTAAGAACAAAGAAAAGTAGGTCTCCCAACTTTCCAAAATCCCAAACAAAACACATTTAAATCCTTACCTTGCCCAAATCGTGGATGAGTCCAGTAAGATGGAACCAGTCATCATCAGGGTGGTCCACGCGGATCCTCTCAGCAGTTTGGAAGGCGTGCACAATGTTTGGCAGGTCGGTGTCAGGGTCCGACTCATCCACCAGCTCGTTCAACTTGATGAGAGCATCCTTGATCGTACTCTTGAACGTGTTGAATTTTAACCATTTTTCTCTCTTCTCTGTTGGTAAAAATGATTTAATTGAAATATTAGTTGTTAGTTGACTATTTGTCGGTAGAATACCTACTTAGGTAAGTGCCTAAAATTTCATAAAGTGTTAGTGCCAAGTAGATGATGACGACGGCTTTTGCTTTCTCTTTCCTAATACCAAGGGGCCAATGTCCTCCAACACGTGTCGCGAGCGAGGTTAGGTAAGGCAGCACGACGTTGCCGGACTTCGCCCGATATGTCTGGCAACATAGCGTGACACAGGTCTTCTCCTCGCTCGTTGTCGCCATATACATATTTCAGGCGAAGTCCCCTAGTGTATACTTGGCTTTATCCTTAGTTAGAGGTCTGGTTTCAAAGGAGTTTGGAGGCGTTCATTTGGAATATTTTTACAAACTTATGACATAGGCAGGCACTCCTCTAGTTAACTCGTCGAGTACCGGTTTTGTAGACACAATTATAGAACAATTTTTTTTTTTTTTAAGGGGGGAAAATCATCGAATGACTGCCCCCGCCTGGGTGAGGCGGGAGGGAGTGTCAGACTCTTACTGACTAAAAACCACCCCGTTCCTTCTCCTGCACGTCGAGCCGGAGCCCCGGTTACCCGTTAGGTTCTCCGCGACTCCGAAAATTATAGAACAATAGGTTACGGTCACCGGTGACCGCTTGGTGTTTGACAGTTAAAACAGACACAAAAGTAGGAATAGGTAAGTAACTTTTTTAAGTGTGGGAGAGCCGTGCTTCGGCACGAATGGGCCGGCTCGACCGGAGTGATACCACGGCCTCACAGAAAACCGACGTGAAGCAACGCTTGCGTTGTGTTTCTCGTGTGAGTGAGGTTACCGAAGGCCCAATTACCCTCCCCTTCCCCAATCTCCCCAATCCCTGAATCCCCAACGATCCTCAAACGTCACGTAATGTCATTTGTAACGCCTCTAGTGTTCCAGGTGTCCATGGGCGAAGCTGATTGCTTTCCATCAGGTGATCCGTCTGCTCGTTTACCGTCTTATGCCATAAAAAAGGTATCCTATCTACTAACCAGAAAAGCTACTCACGTTTAACAAGTTCGACGGTGACATTCGTGTGCATGTCATAGTAGGTCTTGCGGACGCGCTCCCGGACGGGGTCGCTGTCATCCACGGTGTAGTCACGGAACGCCTCTATTGGCTTGTCGTTGAACACCGGCTCCGGACGCAACAGCTGCGACGGGTCGATCAAGGAGATTTCTCCTTTTTGCTGCAGGAGGACAATGTTTTATTGAATTGTTTTGGCAAACGAATAAGGGATGATTTGGTTTTTCTGTAAGAATAAATGTCGTACTTATATTTCATGAAAGTGTGGGAGAGCCATGCTGCGGCACCAATGGGCCGACTCGACCGGAGTAATACCATGGCCGAGAAGAACACTGACGTGAAACAACGCTTGCGTTGTGTTTCGTTGTGTGAGTGGGGTTACCAGAGGCCCAATTACCCCCCTCTACAATGTCCGCAATCACCGAACCCAAAAACCCTCAAATTCCTAATCCCCAAAAGGCCGGTAACGCACTTGTAACACCTCTGGTGTTTCGGCACAAATAGCTTACCATCAAGTGATCCGTCTATTCGATTACCGGCTAATTCCATTAAAAATTTACAGGAATAATCAGATAGCTGTTCCTTTATTTATTAGATCTTTCAGCTTCTATCGAAATATCTACTTCTACTACCTTACCTTCTTTCAAGTTGTAGTAACACAAACAACCCATCTTTCCAAAACGATCCAAATATGACACTTTTTCACTCACACAGAAAACGTCTATCTCTTAAAAAAACTAAAGAACTTTTTCTGCTAGAACCGGAGTGAAACAAAAATAAATAATTCGTTACCTACCTCGGCCATTTTCTTGTTCCTCTACACCCAAACTCTTGCTTGAAGTGCAAGGATTTGAAACTCGGATAGATGTACCTAGGCGTTTTATAGTGGCTTAACACCATCTCGAGTAGGCGGCACTATCAGATAAATAGGGCTTATGTATATTAAGATTAGTAATTCTTTAATAGACTACAAGATGGTCGTATCTGACTGTTGTTTTTGTCATTGCTGATAGAATATAGACCTCTCATGGTGGGTGGCTTTAGTTATATCAGAAGAATTTTGCGAAAAAAAGATAAATGAATTTAAGTAGGTACAACATCAAGGACCTCCTTCATGTAAGTCCATGTCCTCCGCGGTAGGCAGGCAGGTCGTAGTCTCTTATTCCGCCCATACGTCGGCGAATGAAGAAGGTGAATTATACATTTGCCACATCTTAACTTCTTAAGACTTGGGCTGATTTTAGAACACTTCTTCTAACCATATACAAGATGGCGCATAACTGCTGCGGAGTGGTTGTTAGTTAGGAGCTCAGAAAGACTATTAACATTAATAAGACGGCACAGTTGGCACGGTTGGCACGGTTGGCATGGTTGGCACGGTTGGCACGGTTGGCGCGGTGGCTGGGCTACTGGCTGCCGCGCAACGTGTTGTTCCGGGTCCGGGTGTCATGTGTATGTGAACTTGTACGTTTGTACACGCACTCACGCACATAACATAGGAGGTAATCCTAGTGTGGGGCAACGTTTGTCGCGTTCCGCGCGCGCCTCAAGGAGCCATCAGACCACCACAGATGGGGCCTAACAGGGCTGATGCCGATACGAAGCCGCGGAAGACTTAACGGGTTGCCGGGACTTCGGCTCGAAGTGCAGGAGTAGGAACGGGGTGGTTTTTAGTCAGTAAGAGTCTGACACTCCCTCCCGCCTCACCCGGGTGGGCGAAAGCATTGGATGATTTTCCCTCCTCAAAAAAAAAAAAAAGTGTGGGGCAACGTTTAAAAAAACATTTTCACGAAACATGCAAAATGTGGATGGTTAGTGGTTTTTACTTCTACTCGTATCAAAATGTACCAAAGCCCCTCTTAGCAATACAATGTTCTCTTCAATAATAAATTTATTATCAAATGCCTACTTGGCTACAAAAACATGTGATACTATGTGTAAATTACTATAAACATAATGATCGTGCCATAAACATAAGACACTGGAGATAAATTCATTTTATATTAATCTAAATACTATGCTAACATACATATAAAGTTGGTCTAATTTGTACTTAGTTAAATATCTAACTATAACTAGGTACCTATACCTAATATAACTGTAGATTTTTAAGTTTAATTTAATTAGATATTTAAGTAAATATGTACCGAACTCTCTTTTTTAAAGGTTTTAGAGATTCTGTTCGAGTAGGATTTAGGTCAAACCATTGCCTACCCCTTTTTTGAAGGGAGGGGGGGGATTTGACTTCGTCTTGACTTCGGCTTGAAGTGTCAGACTCTTATTGACTAAAGATCGTCCCGTTCCTACCCCTGCTTTGAGCCGCAGCCCTGGGGGAACCCGCGAGGTCGTCAACAAAAACTATTGCCTACCCCTCAGGGCGAAATAGTCATGATAAACATTTTTGTTTATTGATAAACTATCTAAACCTATTTATCAGCAAAGTTAAGTATTTATGTAACTCTTTGATTGACACACTAATATGGGAAAGACGAAACTATAAGCCCTTTCATCTCAACCGATAACCAATCAAAGTAAATAGACCTCTATGTTATATGTAATACAGTTCAAAATGCAGTATCTATAGACTAAAGTGAGTTATGGACACTCTTGAGTGACAGTTTTTTATCAAGAACCGACACCGTAGTTGCAAATATTCGCATTAAACAAATTGAACTCTATAGATATTAAAATACGGTTCACTATGAAATGCATTGATAACAAGATTGTTGGTATTATGCGCACGAGTTTGTATGGAATTTTCGATGGAAGTTTACGAAATATCTGTTGAGTATTGACAGTGTGGATAAACCAAGGGATTACATTTGAAGGTCATTGCAATAAAATATCATAAGTGACCTCTAAATACCGAATACCTATCTACTTTATCTCACATGTGCGTGTTAGTCACATGCGTCAAAAAAGTATATAGGGGCACATACATGCGACGCACTGTGGAAATTCCTCATTTATCTTACTTCATGGAGTCACTACTGTCAGCTATACTTATTATAGTCTTTGTGTCAGACTTACCTAGGACAGTCGTAGACGAGCACACAACGATTTGGGGCCCTTATCTAATGTTTCTATTTTTTACCTAGCCCCACATTACATTTTTCTCCTGTATCGTGGGTGCGTTTACAAACATACGAATTCACATACACAACACAATTTGTAAATTCCACAAAGATTTGCGGGAATCGAACCCGATACACGTGGCACGGGAGCCGGTTACCGCGCAACGTGTAACACAGTGTATGTATCTGTCGTAGAAATTGTCAGTCCTTCGGGCTAAGGCCCTAAGTATGACTAATTGACAAAGTAGGTATACTTAATTGGTAAAAATAAAACAACAATAGGTAGGAAACTATATTTATTTAATTAATTATATTGCTATTGTACATACCATTACACAAAGTTTACCTGGGCATGTCTTTAAACTATAATACATATTAATAAATAATAATCTAAAATTCTAAAACATTCCGACGATATAGGGATTTAGAACACAGCAATGATGGAATAAGATGACTGACAAATTTTCAAATATACATAGATAGGTATCCATTTAAGAGACTATATCTACCTAACTACCTACACATGATTTATTGCAGTAGGTTTAGGTATGTACATTTACATATCTATTAGTACAAACAATAAATATTATGAATTATTTTTAATAACAAGTAATGAATTTCCGTTTCGTGAATCTCGCTAAAATATAATGCGAGAACGGATGAACCGATTTGACTAATTTTGGTCTTAAAATGTTCATGGAAGTCCAGGGAAAGTTTAAAAAGTGAGAAATAAATGTTAGGTACTAAGAAGTTTTTCAGGTCAACTAGTTTTGAATTAAAAGCCCCAAGGAGACTTGCTATTAATATTAGGTCCGACTGGCTAGTATCTAAACTATATTTCCAAACATAGAACTATGAAGAAGTACTATAGTCAATAATAGCTTTACCTACAAAAAACGATAACGAAGAAATAAAAACCGGTAAACGAGCAGACGGATCACCTGATGGTAAGCAATCAGCGCCGCCCATAGACGCTCGAAACACTAGAGACGTTACAAGTGCGTTACCGGCCTTTTAGGGATTAGGTACATTATTTTGGGGATTTTTCTGTTTTAAAGTGCCTTATGTTAGGTTAATATAAAATAAATGATGATAATGACTTTGAGTACAATATCCTATGTCCTATAGTTGAGGATCAGGAAATCCAAGTAACACATCCCCTGAACATCAAACTCAAGGTCTCTTACTAAACTGTGATCACTACAACTTCTCGACCAATTACGCAGAACCGATAGTGTCACTATCAACTCAATTTTTCACTCATTTTATCTACGCAGAAAGCGGGTAAAACTTTGTATTGACGTATTCTTAAAAATGCAAGTCATCGACTAATCAGCTTGTCTGCTTGGGGCTTATTATTTGACAAAATCATCAATCAAGAAATATCTACATTCTAGATGTTTACTAAACATCACGAATGGAGAAGATTTCGAAAAGCATTTTAGTGTTCGTTTTTTTTTCTTCAGCCGTTAGGCGTTGTATTGTTTTTGGAAAAAAAATTGACGCTCGCCTATTGGCGCTAATTTAAAATGTATGACGTCAAAGATACGATATAATTGGTTTTTAGTCAGTAAGAGTCTGACACACCCTCCCGCCTCACCCAGGCGGGAGCAGTCATTCGATGATTTTCCACCCTTAAAAAAAAAAATACGGTCGACATGAAAGTCATTGAGGGAAGAAGAATGTTCAGCAGGGTACATCTTGTGGTTTGGCGATTTAGTATATCAATGAATCGACTTTAAAAAAGAGGGGGTGGAAGTCGTTTTTTAAACGCTATCGTTAGACCAGTCATTTCTAAAGACTATGTGTTTATACTATGTACGAAATATTGAATGAATAAAATGTGTATTTTTCTATGTAATATTAAAAATAAATGCTATAAAATTGTATAATATAGTGTATATTCTGTTAATTTCCATCTATAGTATATCTTATTTATTGCAGTTTATAATATCATTAAGTTTACCACCAAACATCACGAGTCTAACCACGAAGGGGTCAGAAAAGATGAATAAACCAAAATTCTATTTTCGAAACACGGAATTCAGTTAATATCGAAACAAAGAACACAATTATTATTATTGTAATTAAAACCTAACTACAACCACTCGATAAGTGGTATTTAAAATTCACCTTTATACACAAGGACATACGATAATTTTTCAAAACACGATTATCTGTTACTACTTCACAATTTTGATAAGAGACCTATAACAATGAAGTTAGAAGAACTATAGTTTTCTTTGTTACTGTAAAATCGACTTGATTTACTTGGTGTTAAGTTGCTGTTTTAATTATATTTTACGGCTCATTCGCTCGACTGACAGGGTAATACGACTAGTTTCAAGCCTCGCACGGAGCGCATAGTCATTAGACAGTATTGCGCGATAAACATCGTGTGTCCGTAGCAAAGTCATAAGTAACATCAGTAAGCCATAAAAAATAATTAATAGAATATGTCCTAATCGGAGTTAACTATTTATAATACAAATATATGTAGTCACTGATTTATTTAATCATCATTATTGCTAACACTTGACTTGGAATCTCCTTCAGAGTCGCTCGACCACTCTCCTTCACTGTACTGTCTCTCTCTCTTTCTCCTTCTATCTCTTTCTAGATCGTCATCTGAAGAATTCGGTCTTGCGAAGGTCTGTGTATCTTCTGCATCTTGGAGTACAAGTTCTTTGGTTGGCGAGGAAGTGCGAAGTTCTTTGAGAGTGCTCGTCAAGTCTATGTTGACTGTGATTGGTTGTTCTGTTTCTTCAGGGTCATCTCTCCTGCGCTTGCGTTTGCTTTTAGAAGTGTGCTTCCTGTCCTTCTTTCGTTTCTTCTTTTTTGAACTGTGGAAATTATTTTTATGAGTTTAAATATTTCTTGCATTTGTGGTAAGTATTGTTAGAGACTATGGAACGCCAATCGCTACGATCTAGATAACTCTTTCGCTTCATCAACAGTCATCAATCTTTTCATGCATGCGGTTAAGGGTACTTTTAATTTGGCCCTTTTTTAATATAGTGCAACAATGTCATTCAAATCAGTTAAGCAATGTACAGAATGTTTCTGTTTCGTAATATTTAATACTGTTTTATCCCATGAGGGCATTTAATTGGGATAAAAATATATTATGTATTCTATCACCTAAGTCCATACCCCGCCTGTATAGTAGTTTCAACGTATTTGTCGGACAAACATCCAAACAAAGAAACTTTCACGTATATTATATTAGTGTGATTACTTAAATATAGGACTAGTACTTACCCATCATAGTCAGATTCATCGTTGTCATCTGATGATCTGTAAGAGAAACAAACATTCTTTTATACTTTTTTTGGCTGGCATGTGTATATGATATAATGTAATTCTAAAAGCATAGAATAAAACGACTGCAAGGTTGGCGCGTTGGCTACGCAACTGGCTACCGTGCAACGTGTCGCGTATTCGATTCACCTACGGAACAGCAATTTTTAAAATGAAATTAAATGATATTTATTTCTGCAAATAGGTTACAATGTAACAGTTTTACACGTCAACCTTTAAATTACAAGATGAGGGTCGGGAAGGTCTGATCTACAAATTGTTGTTTCGATTCTGAGTGTCATGTGTATGTGAACTTGTATGTTTGTAAAAGCACACACGACACAGGAGAAAATCCTAGTGTAAGGCAACGGTTTAAAATAAAATTGTATAATTTGTCAGTCTCTTTTATACCGTTGAAAGTTTTAAGTTATCTATCGCTGAAATACTCAAACTTCACTTAATTGTAAGTCGCGCTTAACCCGTTGAAATCCATCCCCTAAATTTGGTCATACAAAAGTGGTCTCTAAACATTAGAAATAAGGTTTATAATGTAATGTAATATTCGTGGAAAGCGGTCACCGGTGACCGCTTGGGGATTTATGGGTAAGTAGTTATAGTTATGTCACTACAAATTCTTTGCAAAATGACAGAGATAGCATAATATTAAGTTCAACTTAAAATTGAGTATTTGAAGCTAAGTAGCAGGTTGTTACGTACCTGTACTTTCGGCGCTTACTCTTCCTGTGTGACCGCTCAGACTCGTCTTCGTAATCTGAAATTAATAAATCAATTAGAAACTTCTTAATGCCAGAATGTATAGATTTTGTTGTAAGAAATACGAATGTGAGTACTTTCGATGTATAAAAAAAATAAAAAATAAAGGAAATATTTTTCTTGTTTAAAAAGAATTATAGAAATATGCTCATGAAACACTAGACGTAAATTTGTAGGCAGTATTCGCATCGAACGTACCACTCGACGATAAATACCTCTTCGGGAATTACATGCCGTCATATTTTAACTATAAGATCGTATGCACTTTCGAAGTTTGCTTTTTGCAATGGTTCATCCGTTATTTTTTTTTTAACATTTGATTTCTTTGAAAAAATACTGAATTAACGAGACAGAACCATTTTATTTCGGGACGAAATCGAATAGATTTCACTAGTATAATAATATTTTATAATACTCGACATTGAGTGTGATGTGTATAGAAATCTATTCAAATAATAATTCAAAATAATGCACTTGTAAATACTGTAACAGTCACGCACAATATACTTACATGGAACATCCTAAATTATAAAAAATAAAAAGAATTAAGCATTACTTTGCGTGCTGAAACAAAAATCCGTTAACAATACTAACTAATATTAAAAGTATAATTGTAAGTTTATTTCTACTACCTTTTTACGTTTTATCTGACTTAATAACATATAGGTGGTTAGCAGTATGGAGAACCACTTAAAGGGATTTTATTCACGTGCGGAAATCCGCGAGTAAAATCTAGTTTATTATAAAAAAAAATCTGACCTCGTCTATCACGATGTCTTCTCTTGTCTCGCCTCCGTCTCTTCTCCTCTTCTTCTGCTTTTTTCTTACGAATAGACTCCAAAGTGTCCACCTGTTACGAGTTTAAGTATTTATATAGAAAAAGTGACTAAGCAGTATGGACACATACTATAAAAGGTATGTATGGTTTTATCCCCGAAGATGTAGGCAGAAGTGCGGCACTTAATACCACTAACAATGTAACACCTACTTGTAATAGGAGGTGAGCCTATCGCCATATACCAAGCACAATTCCAAACTCCATGTTACTACTGAGAAATATTTAAAAAACCCAGTAATATTACCCGAGACTTCCTGCCTGGTAGTCGCACTTGCGACCACTTGGTGAACGATGCAGTAATTTAATCTATAGCACAGAGGTGGTGACGTGCCCCGTTGGCACAGTGGTCGCAAGTGCGACTGCCAGGCAAGGGGTCTCGGGTTCGATTCCCGGGTCGGGCGAAGTATTACTGGGTTTTTAAAAATTCTCAGTACATAGTAGCACGGAGTCTGGAATTGTGCCCGGTATATGGCAATAGGCTCACCCCCTATTACATGGGACTCATAACATAAATAGTGAAAAGTGGGTGTTACATTGTACAGTGGTATAATGTACGCCTCTGCCTACCTCTTCGGGGATAAAAGGGATGTTATGTTATGTTAGTAAATAAAATACAGTGTTATAGTGTACCATAGCACTAGCGAGCGAGGATGTAGGCAGCGCGGCGGCGGCGGGGTCCACGCCGACCTTCTTGAGGAACTCCGCCGCGCGACGACGACGCTCCAACTGCTTCGCGCGCTCTGCTTCCGTCTCGCCCTCCACTATAATTGCATACATACATAAGGAATGATAATTATAATAATCCACGATAGGATAAGCATTCTTTTCCTTAAAAATTGTCCCTAATCGGAAAATTATCCAATGACTTATGCCGCCTTGGGTTAGGCGAGAAGGAGACAGACAGACTTTTACTGATTAAAAACGACTCCATGATTGTTCCTATTACTTAAGTAAATTGAAAAAGCCAATAAAACATTGCCAAGAAACAAGAATTAAACTTTTTTTGAGAACTATCTCAACTAATATCTTGTAACAATAAATAGGAACCCACCTTTAGAATCGGACTGATCTCCCGTCAAATCAATCAAGTCATCAGAATTATCGACTAGAGATATGATCTCATTCTCCAACTCCTCTTTACTATATTTACTTCTCTTACTCTCACTCTCTTTAACTCTGTCCTTTTCTTTTTTCTTCTCCCTCTCAGCACTCCGTCTTTCATTCCTTCTAGATTCCCTACTCTCTGATTTTGACCGATGCTCCTTTCTACGGTCTTTATGCTTCTTTTTATCCCTTTTATGAGAGTCCCTCTCTCTTTCTCTGACATGGGGACTATCTCGCTTATGGGACCCTTCTCTCTTGTGCGGGCTCGCTCTAGAATGGGGACTGTCTCTAGCTAGAGGACTCGCTCTTTTGTAAGGACTCTCTCTTTTGATTGAACTTTCTCTTCTGTAAGGACTTTCTCTGGTGTAAGGACTATCTCTCTTAGGAGGACTTTCTTTGCGGAATGGGCTTTCTCTCGTAAATGGACTGTCTCTCTGAGGAGTTTCTTTAACGGGTGGAGTTTCTATTTTCTGTACCTCTATATTTGGTGATTCTTTCTCCTTCTCAATGACAATTTCCACTTTTTCTACAGTCGGAGCTTCTTTCAAAGGTACAATTGGATATTCTTGGATTTGTTCGGGAACGGGGGGCGGGGGTGGTTCAGGCATTGCTACTATCTCTTCTTGTCTTGGCATTTCATTGTATTCTGGTAACATTGGGGGCTTAGGGGGTGGTTGTAAAGGCTTTACTGGTTCTAGATACGGCCTCATTAGAGGTAAATCATTATACTGCGGGTCTATCTTATACATGACGACTGGTGGGATGTTGTTTGCTGGGAATGTCTGTGGGTATACTTTAGGCGGTTCTTTAAACTCCTCTTGAGCTGGTTGCTTCTCTGCTGGCTTCTCTGAGTCATCATCTGAACTGGATTCGTAAGGTAGCGCTGGTTTAGGTAAGATTGGATCCGGTTCCTTCAGTTTTTTTATGGAGAATGATACTGGTGCTGTAAAAAATGAAAATAAAAGTTAATTGATTGTAATGTAAAACAATTTCAGACACTGAGAAAAAAGACGTCCATTGCTAAATATAGACTTCCAAATTGATAGATACTGTGTTTTTATAATAACTATCGTGACATATACTGAATTAACTAAAAATTGCAAGTTACTCACGTAAATATACCGAGAAAAGCTTTACCAGTTTCGAGTCACAGAGGGACTCTACCTTATGAACAGCGTGCGCGGTCGCGGTGATGCGTAAATATACTAATATCGCGCAGTCTACTATAAGCTGCACTGGTAGCATATTTACGTGAACTCTTAATTAGTTAATTAAAAAAGAAAGAACTTATGGATATTTTAAAGTGCCTGTATCCTGTAAATTTGTATAGAATTCGTGCCGTTAATGAATACTCAACCAGTTTTAAACTGTCAAACACCAAGCGGTCACCGGTGACCGCAACCTATTGTTCTATAATTGTGTCTATATTGACGGTACTCGACGAGTTAATAAGAGAAAAGTGCGAAAAACTCACCAGAAGTCTTTTTCTTCTTATCCTTCCCGTTGACATCGATTCCCCTCTTCTGTTGCATCAACCGCTTATAGTACGGATGGTAAATATTCTCCGGATCAAGGAAGGTGAACCGCGGATCATTTTTCGCGCGCACTATATCAGCAAACTCGTCGCCATTTCGTGCAACGTAGGACGCCATCTTGTCTATAACAATTTGCACGTCATCTGGCGGTGTGATGATTGGAACTCTGTCTCTACTATCCGTTGAGGAACTGTCGTCGAAATCTGGAAAGTAATAACCATAATGTTATTATGGAAAGTAATTACAATAATGGTAATGATATAGTTACAAGTGTGTCTAACGCCCGAATACTGAAAGGCTACTCAATTTTAACCCATACTTCCACCGGTGACCACTCTTCACTATAGACCCTATTTCAAATGTTTAGACTACTTTTGTATGAACAAATTTAGGGGATGAATTTCAACGGGTTAAGTTGTGCTTAAATATCGTGCAAGAAGACAAATAGTGACACAACTATACTTAAGCGTGAATTAAAATTCAGTGGCGTTTCAGTATTCGGGCATAAATATAGCTCGGGTCGGCTCGGGTGGGTGCTACATTGTACAGTGGCATTAAGTGCCGTAATGTACACCTCCGCCTACGCCTTCGAAAAAAAAGATGTTATAGGTAAACACTAAAAACAAAACTAATAATAGAAAAATTTGTCGCACGGCCAAAATTAATAACTGATTTCAAACCAAAATCTGTAGATTAAGATCGATTTCGACACGCACAACACCAGAGGAGGTGATTTGGGGACGATTGGGCCTCTGATAACCTGACTTACACGGCGAAACAACGCAACGCAATCTTATTTTTATTTCGTTACTCACCCGACACATCGCTATCGGAGTCAGTATTATAGTTCTTCATAAGACTGAGTCCGGTGGACTTGAGCGAGGGTTGTGACGGTGGCTTCTTCACCTGTTGTTGCTGCTGTTGTTCTTGAGTTTGATACTGCTGGTAGTAGGCTGCGTACTGCTGGTACTGAGACGGCATTGGGGCTGTGGGGTCCACTGCAAATGCAAAATTACAATATTTAGAGTATATTTCAATTGTACAATAGATAAGTTATAAGTATCTTAATGATCGTTTTCATCAACCACCTCGCAACAATCTCTTAACTAAGAGTTAAAATAAGAGAGCACTTAAAATAACCCCTTACTTGTAAGTTAAGTGTCACTTATAAGTTGGAGAAAATCAAAATGTCATTCAAATCATAGTATAACCTATCTTAGATCAGGGGTTTCTTAAAATTGAGGAGGTTGTAGGCAAAATAAGGCAAAACAAAGCCTTCTTGCTAGAGATTACCACACATCAATTCCACTCACCATGATTACCATCAGGTCCCTTAGTATACATGACCGGAGCCCTGTATATCTCAGCGCCGGGCGCCCTGTGCCGCGGAGGCTCGGTGCCCGGCGGCGGCACGTCCCCACGTGGCTCTCCATCGACATCCATTTCATCCTCTCCTCGCATCTTGCTGATCAGCATGGTGTAGTCGCAGTCTGCTGATGGTTTGTAGTGGATGCTTGGGATGGCTGGTGCCTGGAGAAAAGGTCAGTTGTGTGAAGAATAAAGTTGAGTGACTGCACGGTTGATGCGGTGGCTGGGCAACCGGCTGCCGCGCAACCTGTCGCAGGTTGGATTCCCGCACGGAACAACTCTTTGTGTAATCCACAAATTGTTGTTTCGGGTCTGGGTGTTATGTGTACGTGAACTTATATGTTTGTAAACGCACCCACGACACAGGAGAAAATCTTAGTGTGGGGCAACATTTGTAAAATAAAGAAAGAAAAAAGAAGAATAGGCCAGTTCTATAGTTTATTGCAATTTTAAAGTGATAGACATGATCACATAATATGTTGACTTGACAGAAGCCTAATGGAAACGCTTGAGAATTAGGAGTGTTACATGAGCTGAGTTAATGACAGTTACAGAGATTAAAATTATGGAGCAGTTAAATAATAAAGGTGTTTCAATATTTTCCCCAATATTTGGCTACCACACAGTGGCACATAATAATATTTCGAAGCAATATGGCAGAATTTAAAAAAGTGTAAAGGCAGTTTCAGTTTTAGAAAATTTAAGAGAGTGCTGAGAACATGTCTATTGTGCAGGGAAATAATGATTAGAAAATATTAATTTACTTACAGATTCAATCACAGTCGATGCTAAACTTGGGTGCAGATACTCTTCATTTTCAGGTGGTTTTTCTGGAAAATAACAAACACATAAAATAACATAACAAATCAGTTCACTTTTTTTGACTGCACGGTGTTGGCGCTCAACTATGGAAGAACCATGTTTCGACACGAATGGGTCGGCTCGACCGGAGTGATACCACGGCCTCACAAAAAAACCAACGTGAAACAACACTCGCGTTGTGTTTCGTCGTGTGAATGTGGTTACCAGATGCCCATCTATCCCTTTTCTACCCCAATCTCTTCAAAATCCTAATCCCAAAAGGCCGGTAACTCAGTTAGAAAGGCGAAGTGTGGGGCACATTTTTTTTTTAAAGAAGAATATAAAATCTTACAAACATGGATTATATACTACAGTATCATAGAGTAGTGATAGTAGATGTATAATAATATTTCACTTACCTTCAACAACTTCAACTTTCTTTTCAGGCCACTTCTCAGCTTTGACAAGTCCAATAAGCGCGGTGTAGTAAGGGTGCAGGGACGAGTCTCGGTTGAGGAACTTGAACTGTGGATTGTCGCCCTGCTTCGCTTTGATGAGGATCTCCATCTGAGCGCCCTGCGATGCTATAAACTTCGCTGTCTTCTCTATTATCGCATTCTGTTTTAAGGTTTCAGGCTGTAGGCAGAAAGAAATAGAATTGTTAAGGATTTTTTTATATTAATCACTATAAATAAATGTTTAATGTTAATTTTGTTGTTTAATTGATCTTTAATTACAAATATTATATATATTTCTATGGACGCACTATTTTATATGGATTGTCAGTATACATACAAACAAAACCACAAATCCGTATCTATCCTACTATCTTTTTAAGTGTGGAAGAGCCATGCTTCATGTGAGGACCATGTCAGACTTAAGATATTTGTTTTCTCTTGGATTTGTTTTTTTTTTTCTATTTTACATTATTTGTATGTTGCGTCAGGTATGTCTTTACATTATTCTCACATGTGTGTACAATATTGGAATATGTATCAGAGCAATGTAAAACAGACTTTTTTTAAAAGAGTAACGAATGGAGTTTCTTGCTCGTTCTTCTCCACTCGATTCGACATTTTGGAACGAGCGCCTAGCTTCACTGACAGACAGACTGACAGACTATTATATATTTCATATTTGTTGACGTTTCAAAAGTACCAAATTATGGTTTAATTGAAATAAATGCTTTTGAGTTTGAGTTTGAGATGATTAAGCTATATTTAAACTAATATTAATATTATAAAAAACTAAAAACTAAATATTTACAGCTTATGTTAATTAAGGTTTTGATATGAAGTGCAGTCATAAGCAGTATTTAACTCGTTGAGTACTGTCATTATAGAATAGTGTAATTAAAATTTAGTTATTACTGCTCTGGGCTCCAGTATCACTACATAGTATAAAACAAAGTCGCTATCCGCCGTCGGTCTGTCCTTATGTATACTTAGGTCTTTAAAACTATGCAACGGATTTTGATGCGGTTTTTTTTAATAGATAGATTAATTCTTAAGGAAGTTTTATATGTATTATACATGCATTTTGCACTCGTGCGAAGCCGGGTAAGTAAATATTAAAGACAACTGCCGAGTGGTCACAAGTGCGATCGATTCACTATCGATTTTTAAAAATTCTCTGTAGTAGCACGGAATTTGGAATTGTGCCCGGTATGGCAGTAGGTTCACTCCTTATTACACTCATAACATAAATAGTAAAAAGTGGGTGCTACATTGTACAGTGACATTAAGTGCCGTAATGTGCACCTCTGCACGGCGGCGATGTTGTAAAAAAAAATGTTATGAACTCTAAAAACAAAACTAATAATTGACACCACTTACAAACACAACTCGAGGAAATGCAGATATAATTTTGAAAGTAAACAAATAAACTCACAAACACAGTGTCAATAGGCAGTAGGGCCCTGAACGCAGGTGTGGGTGTGAATGGTTCCTCATCCACCTCGGCTGGTTGTGGCGGAGGCTCTGGTTCCGCGGGAGTATCGTAGTTGAACCCCACCTGACCGTAACCAGCTGCATGCAGGCGCTTTAGTTCTTCCTCTGTAACAACAAAAATAATCGGGTGAATATAGAAACAATATGTTTATCTTCTTCACTACATAGTATAAAACAAGGTCGCTATCCGCCATCTGTCTGTCCCTATGTATGCTTAAATCTTTAATACTATCCAACGGATTTTGATGCGGTTTTTTTTTAATAGATAGAGTGATTCACCTTTTATCTCTTGAAACACCGGCTACCGGTATAAAACACATTATACCCGCAACTTTCAACTGACAAGAGGTTAAGGAAGGTTTATATGTATAGTACATGCATGTTGCGTGCGAAGCCCCGGCGGGTTGCTAGTCCTTACTAATATTATAAATCGGAAAGTGAGTTTGTTTGTTCCGCTTTCAAGCCGTAACTACTAAACCGATTGCTTTGAATTTTTGCAGACGTAATAGTACCCTATTATTTAATCCAGACTTCTAACTACTGATATTTTTGAGGGAAAACGAAAATATTGGTATATGTCACGTAAACTACTTTTTATCCTTTTGTGACGCGAGCGAAGCCGCGGGTAAAAGCTAGTAATATTATAAATGCAAAAGCTTGTGGGTTTCTGTTTGTTTGTGTGTATGTTTGTTACTCAGTTACGTCAAAACGGCTGAATGGATTGAGTTGAAATTTGGAACACAGGTAGATTATGGTCTGACATAACACACAGGCTAGTTTTTATCCCACGGCAACGTGTGTGGAGGCATTGACGGAAGCTAGTTTCAATTATTTAAGCTTTATTGTACACCTTACACAAATACAGGAGTAAATAAAATTACAGTTGGTACAATGGGGCGGGTTTAACATGCAAGACAATTTCTTCCAGACAACCACTGGGCTGAATTTACATATTTTGATTTTATTAAACAATAATTCACATTGTTTACACTATGTTTTTCCTATGTACTCTTGTAATAGTATTTTCCTGTTATAGCTAAATATACAAAGGCAAATTTATATAGATACACAAATACACACACACTACAATATGTTATAATGACTTTTGAAGTACACATGAGTGCGAATTGAACCATTAACTTCAGTAGTAAACTTTGTTATAATGTATTCAAGGTACAAATTCACTTATGTCAACATGAAAAGCCACTTACAAAAGATTAAAATGCATTCAACGAGTTACAAACAACCTGTTGGTGTATGAAGGTGTTAATAAGTACCTATTAAACTGTGAATTCAAATAGATCTAAAGGCAAGTAATAATAATTTCTCTAATAAGAACTTTAAACTGTTGGAATTGAGTACTATTTGAAGATGGCAGCTTCTTTAGTGAATTACTTTATGAGGACTGGCTTCTATAACTAAAACTTATCGTTTCAATAATAACAATTATATTACTGATTTGAATAATTGTTTTTGTGTTGGACAGTGCATTTATTGAGGAAGGCTATAGAACATCATGCTGCGATTAATAGGACCTGAGTACAGCAGGCAAAACCGCACAGAAACAAATAAGCATGTACCTTTATACATTTCCTCTTCATCCTCATCAGTGTGCAGTGCACGATATCGCTCCTCATCACATAGCTGTTCCACATCCAGCTCAGCCCTAGTAAGTTCTACTCGCCAGTCGTAACCTCCCGGCGGGGCTTCAAGCCTCGTCAGGTCGTGCAGGGCTCCCCGTGCATCATACCTGTTCAGATATTAACTCGTGTTAATAGCTTGTTAAACATGGTATCCTGTAAGCCAAAACTGTTGGTTGCGAAACCATTTTTCAGTACACAAATAGTTCTAAGTTCATTTGGTTGAGAGTGGTATATGTTCTTCATAACAATATGTCAGAAGAATAAAAGAATACAAGGCTAATATTAACTTATCCTTAATTCACACACTGATATATGTATTTTTGTATTTATAAGCTTATACATACACGCTGTGCCAGTATATATTAAGGAAAATCCTTACAACATGTTAGTAGTAAGCCATATTCAAACAAAGTGATGTGACATTTGAATATAATACAAATGATGAGGAAATGGTATCCTAACATAAACACCCTACAATTCCCTTCACTATCCCGTATAAATCTAGCATAATAAGGACTAACAAGAAAAATTTTGCTTAACAAGTGACTGGGAACAATCAACTATCAGTATCAACACCTGTCTCTTTAACATAGTAGTTATACATACTCAAGTGTACCGTTGCAGGTTATACATACCACCGGCGGCTGTCACCATAACATTACGCGACGCCACGAGCACCTGAGGCGCCTGACGCTCGATCTTCACACACATCGGACTTCGAACAAACATCCTCTGCGAAATACTTAAAGATCTTCCGAAAATTTAATTTTTTCTGATAAATAACTATCTTTTGTAGGTTTATAGCGCCACAGTTAGCAGTCTTATAGTAAAAAACTGGTCGAACCTGTCGATTTTCAACGTTTCATCCCCCATCCACGGAATGAGGTGTTTGCCTTGGTCAATGTGAAGGGCTTTATCATCGTCCCTGAACAATTTGCACGAGTAGCCGAACACGAAAAGGTCTTCTTTCTTCTCCTTGAACTCACTCTTTCTTAAAATACCGGACTCACTTTGACCTCCAGTCCATTTTAAAGACATTTTTACAAAAATTAGAAAATTATCAAAACTTCGAACCAATGCATGCCGATTCGAAGTCGCACCATGACATCAATCGTTCAGAAATCTATTAAATATTTTAAAGATTTAAAAATGTTACTCCAAAAATTAAGTAACAGTGGAACTGATGAGGTTACGATTTATTAAAAGTTTGCTTATCTTACTGGATTTTTTATTATTTAACAGAAAGGTTCTTGGTATTGGACATCTAGTGTTAAAATCAATACTTTCTTTTGGTATTGGATCCTGAACGATTTCGTTTCATCTGTTATAAACATAGACAAAATTAAAAACAAAGAAATGCACAGCCCAGTTCAGTTCAGAAATTAAATGCAAAGAGAATAAAAAAAGAAAACATTATTAAGCATAAAAACTATTTGTTCAAGTAGAAACATATTTACAAATTTGAAAATATAACCAAGCTAACCTATTTTAGTACAAAATTAGCAATTTATGTGAAATTCAAGAAAGAACTTATCCATTATTTCAACTATAAGTGCCCAAAATTGCCAAATATAAAAATTGAACTTTCAAAACAATAAAAGCAACCTTTCTGATTCAAACACTTGGTCTTCGTTACATAACGATTTTCAAATATGAATTCCATTTAGATAATCACAAATGAGTTAAATTAACTTGTTTTCAGAACCTGCATGATTATTTTGCATACCACAAAGAACGCCGTTTTACAAAAAAAAAACTAAACAATGGCAACTGGGTATTACACGAACAAATTACGGATTCAAAACTTCACTCAATAGCGCACTGCAGTTGTGCAAATTTAACATGGGCGTGTTATATACGTTTCAAAAGGCATATGGCGGACGTTTTATATATTTTTGCATCGAAAACTGATAAAATCTTTTAGTTATGAGTATCTTGTGACCGCTAGAGCGTATTTGTTAAAAATTAGATGATAAACGTTAGTTTTTAATGTGTAAATAAGTCTATTATATCTAGAGTCTTATAAATATTGATAGTATTTTCGTGCGTGGACGTTTTGATCCGTATTGTTGAAAAACGAAAAGTCTGTGATATAAACAATACATAGGTGATAGATTAATTTCCTGAACAATTTTGTATATATTGTAAAGTTGTTATAGAATTTTAGCAAAAGTAATATATTGCGAGAAGACTGAGAAATTGAGTGGAGGATTTGCGAGCTATGTCAGCTGTGAACTTATTGTCTTCTTTGAGGGAGAAACCGACCGATGAAAACCCGGATGATGGCTCCAACCCTGACGGTAAGTGCCTTATACAATCCCTAAAATATACTTTTCCCGACACCTTAATTGGTGTGTCAACTTACGTCAACAAGATCTCTTTCTGCAGTTTACAAAACATTGACCCTGATTTCTTCAGGTTTTTGCAGGATATTGTTGACACTTTGTGAGTATAGTTATCACTTAGGGTTAATTCCACCTAATGCAGCTGTCACGTCTTTGTATTCGCTGAATATTGTAAACAAATCTAGCAGGTTTTAAGTAGGTCACAGGTGAAATAGTCTATTGAGCAGTCCTAGCATTGTTAAACTATAAACGTGTTAGATTCTGACCTACCTTTGAAATTAAGACCAATGAGGTTTATATCCAGCTTTGATATCAAAGGAGGTGTATCACCCAAGTAGATCTTATTATTGTCTATGATAATTTCATTATGAAAGTTTGCACTTGTGTTTTGCATTGTTGCATCAACTGTAGTTGTATGCTGGGGGCTTCTCATTATCTACAGAAGCTGTTCCAACTTAACAGTGACTACTTTTCATATTTATCGAGTTATCTTATCATAATTTATTTAAGTATGTAAGGTGTATTATGTTTTTGATTGATTTAATGATGTTATTATGTGGGAAAGTGATTGAAAGTCTGTTTATTTACAATGCTGCATTGTTTATTGAGGCTGGTTTTATTTTTCGGAGTCTTCTTTGCGTTTTATATATGTTGGGATCAGATACTCGTTAGAAAGTTACTTCTCCGAGTTGGTTTCTTTCAAAAGCGTAATGATTTTTACTTTGTTTTCATTTTGGGAACCAAGTTAATTAGTTAGTGTTAGTGATTATTAATTAAAAATTGGTTCTTTATTTGATTTTTTTATATCTTACAAAATAGGTAAGAAAATAATAAGAAGTAGTCAAAGATAAAGTTAGGTTTTTAAGTAAAGAAACGTAATGACTTAATATGCAATGGGCTTATCATTTCATCAGCACTACAACTACAAGACTTACTACATCTTCAATCTCATATCAGAAAATATTTTAAACATCAAATAATATTAAGAACATATTACATTGAAAACAAAATGTAAACAACTTGTCAATAGGTTTATTTTTAGTAGCTGTGACACTGAAAAATACACAAAAACTAATTCTTTACCAGCTGAACAATACTTTATCTTATGGACCTTTACCTTAAGATAAATAAACTAACTACTTAGACAGTATATTGATTACTAAAACAGAATGCAAAGTGTGTTTTAAAGTATAGGAGTTGAAAGTCTGCTATCTTTTTCCTGCGGTAACGGGCTTTGTATGCAAATTTCAAGAGTGTGACTATAAAAACAAATGAATGTGGTGTACTATTCTGTTTATTTACAACACAGTACTTATTTTCCTTTAAAGTAATAATAAATGTATGAATCCATTTGAGGTGTGATCGTGGTTTTCATATTGCAATTAATTTTATTTGACCTCTAAGGCATTCCTTATGGCATTTAAAATATAAATACTAGCTTTTCTTACAAGGCTTTACTTGTGTCGTCAAAGGCAAAATATTCAATCTACAATCTCGCCATGTTCAGTAACAAATAGCTTATTTAGGTATCAAGAATAAGCTATATTGCGATGTGAAATAAAGACAAACAAACACTTTCCAATTTATAACATTACTCCCAGTATAAAACACCATTATACCCGCAACTTTCAACAGACAAGGGGTTAGTATGGACATAATAGTTTCAAATGGAGAATTGTTGTTGTTTATAGTTGGTTTAAAAATAATCAACAGAAGAGACAATTTTATACACTGTTTTACAGAATAAAAATAAAAAATAAAACAAAATGTTACTTCTGCTGCCATTCAAGAATCCTTCACAATCTTCAAGAAAACAATCCTTCTATGTATCTTTCCTTTACCGAACTCACTAACGCTTTCTTCATTATTTACACTGTTATTTGTTTTTGTTCAGACTTTCATTAAGTTCACCAAATAATTATGACTTACATAAAGATAACCATACATATATATATATCTCTTTAGTTTAATGTTTACCTTGACTAAAATTCATAATAACCTGTGATTTGTTGGAATGCAGATCTCTGCGAGACACAATGTGTTTTCTATTGTGTCTCATATATCAATAGGCAAGAGGTTAATTTACTTAAAACTACTTGTAATGGTAAAATATCAATTAAACTAATTTTAGATATTGTTTGTAAACAAAGTGTATAAATAAATAAACATAATAATGTAATGTAATATTATAACTATGTAAGTAATTATCTCATTATTATAATGATTGGTAACTAAAGTTATTGAAGTCGTATTATTAAAAATATAATAAAATTAATATAAAATGTGATGGCAATACATGTAAGTGGAAAACAATTGAAAACATTTGTTACCAACAGATAATGGCAATATTTTATTGTCAAAATTGTGCAATACTCTCATAAACACATAGTAAAAACTTATTTTATAAAGTGTGCAATGTTTTTTGGTATTTGATGATTTTGCTAAAAAACATGTCCTCTATCCTATGTGTTAATCCAGGTCAGGGTCTATTTAGTACGTATGTCAAAAAGTATCGCGTTATATTTTTTTTCATGATAATGGCGTTTGCCCTGCAGTGGGACGATCATAGCTGAAAATAATAAATAATGAAACAGTGACGAACAAAAATGAATGTACATTCTAGACGCATGCATGAAGTTTCACGCATTTAATCATGATATAGGTAATTGGTACGACATGACCAAATACCTAGTTCCAAATATTTACTTTTACCCACATAAATGCCCTGAAGAAACGAACTGTACAACAAATTATTTGTGTCTACCTCCGTACTTCAGTCAAGTAAACACGCCCTTTACAAGTTGAAATGACCATGTTATTGCAAATTATTTATAGCCCTGTTATTACAGTGAGGTGAAGGAGTTATAGACCGTTGACACAATGTGTTTATCATGCCTTACAAACTCGCTTGTGTTGCATTTCGCACATAAACAATACGACAACCGACCACACAGTTACACTGCGCGGCTCATGTGCCAACGTAAAAAACGCAGTCCCCTTCTTTTCATATTGGCATTGAATTTTTTCCAGAAAGATATTTTGCTCGCGAATTTGACGATGCTATTTGGAATCTTGTTTTTTTTAAACCGATGAATCATTGTTGAGTGACTCGTTGCACTCGAATGCTTGGTCTGCTGATATGATAGATTTAGGGCCTGTTTTACCATTCTTATAATTATAGACTAGGCGTAATATTGGAATTTTTTCCATAGTTACACTTTCAGGAATTTAATCGGGCGATGTGAAACAGACCCTTATAATTTTAAGAACCCAACCCTATTCCTGATTCTAGCTAAGTACCTTAAATGTAAATGTTAGTCCCAGCGGTTACAATCGGTTTAAACCGTGCAAAGAAAACCTGCAAGCCAGGTAAATTATAAAAATATATCGTTACTTTTGTACAATTTGAAATACAGTGACTACACTTAGAGGACAGACTGCATATTTGGCCCAATGCTAATGCTAATACTATTACACGTTAAAAAATTCTATCATGACTAACGGGACTTACTTGCTAAAAAAACAAGTTAGTTCTATCTTGCAGATTATAAAAAATAAACCTCAGCGCTAAAGTTCCGTTATCATAGTCCTGTATACTGATTAATTATACATACACAAGACATCATATCGATAGTACATACCTAGACAGGTTTATAACTCGTCAAAAGAAAATCATTCATGTTTTTGTTAATCCCTTCTTACTTTTTAAGAGACGGCAGGATAGATTTGTCACCTCACCTTCTCTTCTCGCGTGTCGTAACTCGTGACAGAAGGCTAAGGG